AGGGAAAAGCCTGTGGGGGGCTGAGGGGAGGAGAGTCTGGTGCGTCGGAGGGGCCGACAGAGCCCAGTAAGAGGAGGGAAGAGGAGGCTAGAGGGGCAGCGGGTGCAGCCTGGAGGCCTCTGCCTAGATCCCAAGAACAGGGTAGGGCTGAGCAGGGGGGACATCACCCATGTCTGCGCCTTCGAGACCTCCCTCTGGCTACAGAGTCCCCAGGGATCACCTGCCAGCCGAGCAGTAACGGGGACCCGGCCGGGTGGCCAATGGAAAGAATAGATGGAGTCAGTAAATGCTTAGGAGACAGACTCCAAAGAGCCCAATGGTTCCTGGAGCATGTATTGGGCTCTTGCTGTATGCCAGGCATGAACCATGGAATTTACTCTTCCCAACCGCCCCCTTGGATTGTTTCTGTTATTACCCCACGTTTACAGAAGCAAGTGAGCCATCGTGTGGAGCAAAGCCACCAGCTGGCACGTGGCAGGGCTGAGATGGCCGGGCACTCAGGTCCCACCCACACCCTCCCACGTGGCACCACTGGGTGTCCGGCTTGGGCAACGAGGGGAATGGGGTGCTAGGATAGAAAGGAGGGCCAGAGCATCTGGTGGGAAGAAATGAGAGTCGGCATGCCGAGGGACACCCTGGTAGGATGCGTGGCAAACAGCCTGGAGCAGGAGGAAGTCTGGTGGGGGGCAGGAAAGATAGACCTGAGAGTTATCAGCAAGTAAGAACAATGAGCCCCAGCCGGTTTGGCTCAGCAGATAGGGTGTCGGCCTGTGGACCAAAGGGTTTCGAGTTCGACCCAGTCAAGGGCAGGTACCTTGATGGCAGGCTCCTCCCCACCCCGGGCCCTGGGCAGGACTCATGCAAGAGGCAACCAATAGATGTCTCCCTCTCACATCGATGTTTCTCTCTGTCTTTCCCTCTCTCTTTCACTCTCCACTAACCTCTCAGAGGGTGTGATGGGCGGCTAGGGGGGTCCAGACACAGGCTTCTGGGGCAGCCTCTGGCCCCGCCTCCTGACTGGGCCGCGGGAGCTGCTTGCATGCCATCACCTCCTCCCTTACAAAGTCACGTTGGCACACGCCTGCCAGGCGGTAACAGACGATAATGTACTGTCATTAACACATCCCCACATCCCCGTCTATTTAAAACCCCCGAGAAGCAGGCAGCCTCGCCTTGGACTAGCTCAGCGGTGGGATTACTGCCGGCTAATTATAACCACCATCTCCCAACTCCAGGGGACCCTGGGGCCTCTGTCTGCCCTGAGGAGCCAGGAGGGACTGGGAAGCTACGGACTCCAACTCAAGACCCGGAAGTTAGCGGGACATGACACGCTGGCACAACGGGCCCAGAGAGAGACCCTTGCCGTTGCCACAAGGTGTCAGCCAGTCTCTGGCAGGGGTGCCCTTGAGCGGCCCCTCCCGGGTGAATCGGGGCTGGTCCCCTGTGGCCAATACGATAGGGCAGACGTGGGTGATTTTCAAGGAGAGGTGATAATGACGCTGCAGATTGCACTCGGGCGTGGATCCGGCTGTGAGAACAGCCAAGCAGCCCAGTGGACAGGCCCTGTCCTCTGGAGTGGAGAGCCCGGCCAGCAGCGGCCAGCACCAGCACGCCAGCCTGTGAGCGCCCTGGGAGTGGCATGTCCAGCCTCCGCCAGGCCTTCCGATGGTGCGGCCACAGTGACAGCAGCTGGAAGCTTGGAAGGGACCTCGGAACAGAGCCACCAGGCTGCTCCCGACTCACCAACAGAGGCTGCTGGAGGTGACCGCGCTGAGCCTCAGTGTGATGTGTTACATGAACTAATGCAACATTAACTAAGTCCGTGGGTAAAGGACTGGGTCCCGGTTGGGAAAGGACTCAGGGCCTCACATACACGATCACATCTAATCCTCACAGCACCTCTGGGAGCCAGGCCTCAGCCCCTTTCACAGATGAGAAGGCCAGTATGCACGACAGCGCAGCCTGCCCTGCCCACAGCCAGGCATGCGGAGCCAGCGTGGCGACCCTCACCGCCGCCTGCCCTCACCGCTGCCTGCCCTCACCGCTGCCTGCCCTCACCACCGCCTGCAACAGCAGCTCTTTCCATCACAGTGTCCCGCCTCCTGGAACACTGTGAGCTGCCCAGTCTCTCCTTCCAGCTCTGCCAGGGAACCCTCAGTAATCCGGGGAGTTGTTCAGTCTCCCTCCGCCCATTTTCCCACGTAAGGTGAGAGTCGTTGCCGCTAAGGGCCCAGTTTGCGCTAATATTCTCTGACCCTGGGCCCCACCCTCTATGTCCACCTTCCTTCCAGGACAGGCTTTCTCACAGGGTTCCCCTGGCTCCCGACGGTGCCCCCCACACGGAGCTGGCTTCCACTGAAGCACGAGGGTCTCAGGTGAGCCTTCAGAAGGCCCCAGGAGTTCCAGGAAACAGGTTGCCACAAAGGCGTCCTTCCTGGAGGCTTTTCAACCTTCACGTGTCCAGGAGCTGCGGGGCTGGCTGAACAAA